GTTGGCATACATTTTTATACTTTTTTCCAATATTTTCTCAGTTAGCATATCAATATTTAGTTTTCTTAGTAAGATGACTAACGATTCTTTTTCCCTTTTATTATTAACTTTTTATGTGTTAACTTTATCAAATATTACTTTCTTCGCATTTACGCCACATAAAATTCAATTAAATACCAAAATCACAAAATATTTAAAAACAGCATATCTTTAGAATTCTCGACACAGCGTTTCAGTTTATATTCGCTACATTATTTCTAAAACTAACCACCTAAATAATTACCATAAAAGGAAAAGTATATAATGATTTTAGTAATTCCAGCTAATGTTAATTCCATAAAAATATAGAATATTTCCAATTATACAGCTCATGATTATAATATATGTATATTTAAATCAATGGCATAAAAATATAAATATTATTAAGAATTACATTTATTGCTCTTAAATCGCTTAATTTATTACTCAATAAGTTTCCATTTTAATCTGAAACTATCTTAGGCATTACTGAATGGAACAACGTTTAATATGAAAGTATTTTATTTCCGACAGCAGCAACAGACTGTTTTCACTGAGCCGAGTTTGACAATTAAAATTAAAAAATTAATACGTTACATTTTTTTAGAATGGCAACAGTCTCGTGCTCTGCAGATAAATGTGTTTTATTCCGTACAGTGTTGCCACTGCTCATTTTCATATCGTCGAATTTGTTACTAACAAAAGTCACTGAAATTTTACAAAATATGAAATAAATAATAAAACAATTCGAAATTTTAAAATTCGGATTTCCAAGTTCCCATGTTCAGGTAGAGAACTACGTTATTCAAAATTTATGGGCTCTAGGTACCGTCATCTTTTCACAGTGCGAGGAACACACATACATGCATGCACATTCTTCATTATTTACTTTCTTTAGAAATAAAGATAATATTTGGCTGCAATAATTTGAAAAGTGATACGCCATTTATAATGAATAAATGCGAAATCGCATTTCGAGACTAATAGCCCCTTTTGGACTCAAAAGAAACACGTTACTTAAAGGCACATTCGACATTATGATTAAAAGTTAACGTAAATAGTGATACTACAGATCCATCATTAAACAACAACAACCAGGACAGCTATTAATAGTTATTAATAGTATTATAATTTTCTAGCCTAGCTCGTATTCCATTAGCTAAAACCACGGACCACTTAACAGTTCGCTCTTTTGACTTCTGATACTTGTACTGAATATATAAATCAATGTTTCTCTAAAAAAATGCTATGCCACTCTCATTAGCAGGAATTCCTCGCGTACTTGGATCAATTAATAAACGAAACAAACCTACAAGCACAAGCGTGGGAGAAATTTGCATCTTACCTAATTAACGAAAACTTTGTGAAACCCGATAGTCAAACGTCACCCATGTGGTGATTATTTAAGTTTTATTCCTAGAATCTTAAACACAGTATTATCTAACGGAATCTTGCTATACGGCAACAATAGATCTCAATTAAACAGATTTTTATAAACATTTTATTCTATATTAAAAACTTGACATAATCAGATATTCATAAACACTTATATATTATTTACATAGCTTGCATTCTTCTGCAGCAATACTTTTTGGATACGAATTGTACGACTGCTTTTAATTGTCAACTCCTAGACCCCTCTAAAGAAGAAAAACAACTTATCGCCCTGTTTTACGTTTAAATTACAGTAACATACACTCAAATGAAGTCAAATTAAAGTGTTAAACACAAACCAACACGCATCTACCAAGATCTAACACGGCCTTCCAACCTTTCATGAAGCAACTGCGGCTAGAGAAGCTAAAACTGATAATAGAATTCAGTAGAAGGAAAAGCAATGCAATGAATGATAGTTACCAAGAACTCTCTCGAACTGTAAGCATATACATTTTGCATCTCAGTCTGTTGACTAAAGTAAAAGTTAAAGCAAACAGATAAGAGAACTGAGTTAAATCCTTATATATATAATATAAAACCCTACAGATTAATCAAAAGCGATCCTTCGCAAGGTATGTTTAAAATATTCTTCGATTAATAATCAACTCTAAAATTTCTCTGTTTCCAGCTAAATACTCTATGAAAACTAAACACAAACAAGATAATCTACACTGTTTTGTTTCTTATGTCTCCATACTGTAGAGAAATTGGTATGTTTTTATGCTGCACTAAAATTAATTTTTGGAATTCTTCGTGAAGAAGCGGTTCACTTCAATGACGGAAAAAAAAGGTTGTTTAAGTTTTTTAAAACAGCATGGTCAACTTCCGACTTGATATGCATTAGCTTAGAAATTAACTGAATATAAATTCTATCTTACACAAGAAGAGATCATTCCACCAGCTAGCATTTTTGTAAAGAATCTGTTTTGGGTATAAATACTTTTTAATGTCTTTATGTTGCACGTAGTATACAAATAATTAACAGTTTAAGTAGTCGAACCACAATATAATTTCCATTGTAATGTGTACACTTAATAATACGGTGAATTAATTTTTTTACATACAAGTACTTATTTTTAAAATATAACATTTAGATGATGCATGAATAGTTTGTTACTTTATATTTATCGGAATACAAACTGAATGTAGAAATTGCACAATTACAAAAGTTTTAATAACTATAGTCTTACTATTTTAAGGCTGTCGTCAGCCGCCCCCCCCCCCAATCTGCAATCGTAACCTATGCCGTCATCACTGCATAGAACTTATTTTCTCTACGTCATTTAACGCTGTAGTTTATGGCAGCCTTCATTCGCAAGCGGCTGAAAGTTAATTTAGATCAGACTATCGACGTTTCAAACTTAAGTACTTAGAATTTTGAAAAGAGAGTTCATTTTCAATTTGATCTTTAAAAACGGGATCATAGTTTAAAAGTTTTTGAATAATTAGCCTTCTCAGTATTAATTAAAAGCAGAAATATTTAACATACAGAAATACATTAAAAAAATCAAAATATGTAGATTTTGGTTTAGTACAGAAATGAAACATGCTAAACGGAAATGAAAGTAAGGGAAAATAAAAGGACTTAACTTTTTTCCCGCAGCTGTTGTTCCCATGGCCAAATCGAGAGGCGGAAAACAATCTTGAAGTTTCCGTTTTAAAGTAAAATACTATAATAACGAATGGTTCTTTAAGAAAGGAAAGGGAAAAAAAAAAAAAAAAAGAGAGAGAGAGAGAGGATGATATAGTATGCGCCCTTTTACCGCATTTAGTTATTTCTTTCTTTCTGAGATAGCGCCATTAAAATTGAATACTGTTTTAATCATTTTTTCTTCTGTAACTTTGAAGCTACTGAAATTAAATTTTAACATAATTAAAACTTTAATGAATTATTAAATTAACAGAATCACTTTCATTTATCTATTCTTAATTATTTGTATTTATTTTCAGATTTAAAAATAGTATTTCATATTTAAAAAATAGACAACTAATGTAGTACTGGTAGATTGTATACTGCGCTACAATGTAATGCTTATGCAATTCCAAATATATATTTTCCTCTTATAGTACATCTACTTTTATTATTTGAAAATACATGACTATATGTAGACACTAATTTTCCTTTATTTTGAATTAAACTAATTTTCAGTTATTGTGTTGTGGGCTTTAATACTTTGAGGTATGCAACATTTCTATAATTTGACATTTAAAGCTTATATTTCTCATGTTTCGTTGATTTAGAATTTGAAAAAGTAAAGATAAGAAATAAATAAATAAATAAATAATAATAATAATAATAATAATAAAGATATTTTTCTAGACAGATTGCTCCATAATATTTAAATTATTCTTTTTCAAATAAAACTTTAAAAGGAAGTATACATCTTTGGCCCACTTAAATCTCTTATAAATTCGGTAAAATCCAGAAAGCATACAGTAAATTTTAAAGAAGAAATAACAATGAATCAAATTCCACGAAGAGCTAGACAGAACATGCACCGACCATATCCTTCCCACAGTTTTCACCGCATTTCCCATCCGTAGGAAAAAATGCGTCATGTTCAAGCCCAGACAGTTCCTATTATTCCGATCCCGCCCTTTTCCTTGAAGAGGTTATTTTTCCTTTTCGTTGCTGTGGTTTGCATACATTTACGTTAAAAGTTTCGCCGTTTCCATAACGAATAAATAAAACAAATCCGCAGCCTCATTCGTTTGCATATAAAATGGAAATCTTAAACTTTTTCGAAAGAATTAGGATTCATATCTTTTTCGACAACTGATCCTCGCTTATCTACGGTATATGTATCTAAATGCCAAGATTTTCTTAAAGCCAAAGAAAATAAGTACATACGACAGAAAAGAATCGAGGCGTCGTTTCGCAAGAGAAAATTTCAAGCAAATGTCACATGTCTATCACAAACGTCTTTTTAATATAAATGTTACACAAATAAATCATTTTATTGGTTACAGTTACCTAAATCGTGTTCTTTTCCTTACGTTTCGGTAAACTTAAGGCAATAAGAACTTCAAAAAAATCTACCGTCGTTCTCTCATGCAATGGAAAAGAGCTACAAGCTAACTCTAAAAAAAATTAAATCCCAGAATGAGACTTCAAAAAAATGTTAGACTTCTTTCAATATGCCTATATACTTTTCAAAGCACGTTAATAAAATGTGTTCTAATAAAAATGAATGATTTTAAAATGAAATAAAATAAAAACTATTTCAGATACAACAAACATTTTATACTTCACTGGAATTCAATTCCTCCCCCCAATGGCGAGGGCACTTCCCTGTAACAGCATTGGTCACTCCTAAGGCCAAAAGTCGTGGCCATTTTATGGAATTCAATTTTTGACATATTCGGAATAAAACATCATTTTACTGTCCATCTCGACTTCGTGCACACAAGCGAATTCGATAAAATCAATTTTAGATTATTGTGGGCAATAACTCTGGCCTAACGTCACGAATGTAACGTTCGATGTTTAATCTTTTAATACTTCAAGGGCTAAATCACAAACAACTTTGGGAAGGTCAACTCACAGTTGCTTTTCGTGAAATCACCCTTTCACCATCCCCCTCCAATATGTTATTAGTGATGGCGTTAGCAATGTGGCACGTGGCACCGTCTTGTTTGAACCACATGTCCCCCAAATCTGTCTTCTCCAGATTTTGCCACAAGAAATTTGTCATCATTCATTGGTATGGTACACAAATAAATCATTCATTTAATTCATCAGTCATTCTAACAGTATTTCCTCCATTTGGGAGAGATGAGGTGCGATGATGCCACTATGCCATAAAAACACACAACGACCTTTTTCTAAGGTTGCAGAAGCTTTTCGTGCATCACTTATGGAGTGTTTTCACACCAAAAACGACACCTCTGTTTGTTAACATGTCCAAATCAAGCAAAAATGAGCTTAACCGAAGAAAACATTTTATCCAAAATTAACGTCCTTTAGGTATGACAAGCTGTCACAGCATACTAAACACAAATAACAATAGGAACAGTGATATTTTAAACACGGTTGCCATTCCGTTTAAAATCATGTCATTCTTACTGAAGCACCCTTTGTAATTCTTAGACATTTTACCATGCGTTCATTTTATCATCCATCTTTATTATTTCGCTTGCTATTAAAACATAAGATGATCTCTCTCACTCATTCACACTACAGGCTATTGCCAAGACTGAGTAATTAAAAGATTCTTTTCTTTACATGATACCGAATAAATGTTTGAAATAAATAGTAAATTTCAGTCGTAAATTTTTAATGCCGTTATACATGTCTTCAGCATCGTAATTCTAATTTTTTCCGATGTAACAACATAACAACTCAACGATTTTCTAAAGATGCTATCAGTAACGGTTTGCCGTACGAGGCATTTGACTTTTCGGTGAAAACTGGTTGTTGAAATCTTTTGTTAGAAGTAATTCTAGCTTGTCGATTTCGATATTTGTGCGATGACAGATTCTCGTACATGTCTTTATCTTGCATTGCCTAATGCAGAGGTCTTCAACTTTTCTTACCCCGGGCACCCTTTAACCACTGCTAGAAATTCATTCTACCTCTCTCCACTCCTTTCCACAACTTGCAAAGTACGCATACAGTTATTTAGATTTTGATTATTTTTTAACCCGTTTTACGAATTAAATAGCAGAAAGTATAAAAAATGTTCATAAATACAAATACCTGAATAAAAGTAATTTGCTTTATATTCATACACTAAAACTAAATACTGAACAGCTAAATAAAAGGTTAACCGCCTTCTCCCCCCCCCCCGAAATTATGAAATTCTCCCACCTTCTTGAGAACCCCAAGCCTAATCAACTTTTGGTACAAATGGTAACCATTTGACAACATAACCCTTCGGTACCTAGTCACGTGTTCATTGGTTTCGAAGCATTATAAAATATTAGACATAACATTATTAGAAAGTGTGAGCTAACTTCTAAAAGAATTTCTAACGTTACGTATTATGCAGACTTTGACTACACATTATTCATATAATAAAATAAACTTTCTGCCAACTTTACAATTTTTGATGCCAATATTGTCAAAACTGCGAATAAATATTGAACTAATTTCTGAAATTAAGTCTCTCTGACATGAAGTATATTCTTTGAAAAGTTAACGCAGAGTAAAAATTTTAAATTCTCTAAAACTTCATTAAAAATAAAATAGGTATAATTAAAATTTTTAACATTTTTTAAATGAAACACAAAGTACCTTTACAGACACCGTGGAATGGTTGATCTAGTTGTATTAAAATTTTGTGTGGTCTTAGAATGAATGTTTCTTAGATAACTGTTAACATAATAAAATTCTACATAAATATCACGTAACAATTTACAGGCTTGGAACTTAAAACAGTTCTGCGACTAAAATTTGCGCAGTAGAAAATTCAGAAAACCGAAAACGATGTTTCTCCCAGCATGAAGGCAAACAACAATTAAAAAGATTTCCTATTTAACTACTGAATATCTTCTTCATGCTGACGTTTTTATCAGTATTCGTATAAACACAACAGGTTCCAACAGCACAATAATAACTTTTTTAAAAATCTAATTCACGCTGATGTATCCTTGTAAATCGATCATTCTACACAACAGGTTCCAACAGCACAATAATAACTTTTTCAAAAATCTAATTCACGCTGATGTATCCTTGTAAATCGATCATTCTAATAATGTACAAAGAAAAGCATTACTTCTCCAATCATTTTTTCCATACGTACAATTTATGGTTTTATCAGTATTTTCTGTAACTCAGTTCTCTGTCTAACGTATTCTTTGTTTTGTACATTCGGCAGTAACTAAATTACAAGTACGAAATTCTAAAACTAAGCAAAATATCAGGCCAGACAGCGTGAAACAAAATTACTAGGCATCGGCCAAAACGAAAGCAAAAATATTCAAAATAAATCACGCTATAATGACGTTAGAACTTGCACTTATTACCATAATCGGCATGTCATAACATTTCAAACCAAACGCTATATTCTGAGATGAAAGTTTGAAAGAACATGAGACGATATTTTTACGTCAGCTAGTGTACGTCACAGCGCAACGTCAATACAACCTCGAAGAATAATTTTTCTTGTCTGGAAGAGGTAATAACTGCAATTCCGGGAAGAATAAATACTATCTAGAAGGATTTAAGCATTACTGATGAACGCATGGAAGAATATTTTAACTGTCAGTCTCTCCAATTGGATGACAAAGGTTCTAAGAATAAATGGAGCACACAAAATCTCTGAAATGTGAAAATACACATCAGTAACCATTTTTAACTTCAATTATATTACAAGATTTGATACATTCAAAGACGATGAAAGCATTCGCATAAACTTTTTTCTAGATTTATGACACATTCGAAAGCACTTTCCTTGTTTCAAACTTCTCAACTCTCGCGCAGTTTTGAGCTCATGAAAAAAATTGGAAAGCAAGGAGTTACAATGTTATTCATATTTGTACAAATATTTCCAGGCGAAATTTTTAAATCTTTTGCTAATTTCTTTCTATTTCAATTATTAATATTATTATTATTATTTTCTATTTTCGCTTTCGTTTCGGCCGGTGTCTAGTAATTTTATTTCACGCTGCCTGGCCTGATATTTTGTTTAGTTTTAGAATCTCGTACTTGTAATTTAGTTACTACCGAATGTACAAAACAAAGAATACGTTAGATAGAGAACTGAGTTACATTTCAAAAAATTATCTCATCTAATAAATATTATACATAGGAAATACAATACATGTATATTGTTTGAATTTCCTTGCTAAATGAGCTCCGATTGCCGTAACATGCATTCTTCAAAAATGCAAAATAAGCCTTGTAATATGAAGCTCAACATCAAGGAAAATGGCAGAAAGTCATAGAATTATTTTGTCATGGCCATCTCTCATTACTGCAACTAACGTTAAACTCCGAGTGATGCCAAAACAAAATTACACACTTAATGTATGTTCTGCATCTTCCTTGATACTGAATGCGTTAGCAAGGGTTTCCTGCATTTTTCATACAGGAAATTAAACGTTCTCTCAACGACTAAGACACTGGATTTTTAAAAATAGCTTTCTGGTTACTCCATTAAAAAGCGTAAAATAATTTGCCGAATACAGATTGAGGATGTTTCACTTTTTATTTGCTACAAAAAGAAAAAGGTATTAGAAGACAATAGTTTGTCAAAATTTATATTTGAATAAATAAATAATAAACAGAAAGCAAAGTGAAGTCGGTATGCTAAGGAAAACATGTCCTTATGACACTACATTCAGTAAATTGTGTCAATATCAAAAGTGGCACAGAAAAATAAGCTTTGTGCATTTTTTACATAAATTAAATAATATAGTTTAGATACAACAAGACTTCGTTTTTATTCATACACTCGTGAGTAAAATTAAGAAACTTCGCAAATTATGTCTATTTTTAGGAATAGTATTGAACCAATGGTACAAATTATGTCGCCAAAGAACTATGCAAAAATTCATAGTAGTAGCCACAAACGTTTGAATGACGGAATCAGATGGAGAATTGTCAATAATTAAGAGTCAGGCAAATTAACGTCCCGTGTCATTTGCAATTTGTGGAAATAATTTCAGAACACTGGATCCATATCGAGAAGACCAGGACAAAGTCGACCAACACCCAAAACGACGAATGAGGATAATTATTTTGCACTCTCAGCGCGGCAACAAAGAACATCTGAAACTTCACAGCTGTCACGTATGCTGTATGTTGCCAATGGAACCCGAGTTTTACGGTCTGCAGCAGCTCGAGGCTTTATGAGACGTATGCCAGAAGACCTGCTGATAACTCGAGATTCAACTTAGACACAGATTCTCAATGTTCATGTATCTAGAAAGAGCCTGGAATACGATGCAATCCCTCTCTCATCAGGGAAAAGGATCGTCATGGGGTGGAGGTATAATGGTTGGAGCAGACATAATGTTGGATATCTGCACGCAACTGCATCTATTTGACAAAGGCTCTTTGACTGCTATCAGGTATACAGATGAGGTCTTGGAGTCCAATATTCGACTTTCCAGGGTTGAAGTTTGCCCTGGATTACGTTAATCGACGACAAAGCTCGTCCACATACGGCTTAGCTGATCGACGATTATCTAGAACGTGAGGATATTCGCCGCATGGATTGGCTAGCCAAATTTCCTGACCTTAATCCTATGCAGCATGGCTGGGACGCTATTGGGAGGACAATTTCATCTGCCATGCCCATCCTGGAGTGAAAACTGCCTTCCCACTTAAGTGGCATCGACTGTCACAGAGACTCAACTGCTTCTTGTCCAATATGCTCTCACGCTGCGCGACCTGTCTGGCTGTGAGAGGCGACCATACCCCATATTAGACTCATTTTCTCGATATCATAACATGGATTTTAGACATCCCTGCGCTATGATCTTTACTAATAAGTAGTTATTACTAATAAAAAAAAAATGAAGACTCCTATTATTTTGTAATTTCGCAGAATGGGGGGGGGGTGCTTAACGTATTTTCATAATTCTTTGAATAGCACACAATTACTTTGATTACCAGAATGGAGAAATCATCACACGTTATTGATAAAAAAATCCAATTCCACATTATGTAAAATCAGAAAGAAGTTATATTTATACGCGTGGAATTCATTATAATAGACAACTCGCCATATAATATAAATGTTGCTAT